CAATCAATCAATCAAGTGTAAAGGTAAAGTATGACGTAAACAACGTGAAGTATGAAATGAAAAAACTAATAAAGGAAGGGAAGCAGTGTAAGCCCTTTAAAAGATTGGTTAACTCGATTGGCATTAAGTGCTTATTGCAGTATTCCTGTTTGATCGAAGACAGAGCAATGTTATTGTCTGAGATGTCTCGGACAAAATCCTTTGGTTAGATGGATACACTTTGGAAGCAGTACATCAGGCGGGATGAATCACTGCTTCAGTGGGACTCTGGCTCATTTTGGATCAGAAATAATGAGATGGATGAACTGGCACAACTGCGAAATTGCAAGTCAAAAGATATGCCTCATGTTAGTAAAGAATTTGAAAACAAAAGTTACAACTGAAAAATACCTTAATTTTTATTATAATTAGTTTTTTAGAAATGCAAGCGATGTTGTCTTCTTAATTAATCGGGATTGGGAACTTGTAAAGTAGACTTCGAGTTTGCTTTCTTCAAATTATTGGATGTCAAGAAGTAAACCTAATGGTTGATTAGTTATCCAATTTTCTTCGAAGTCTAAAATGATACTATGAAGATTTTGAAGACATTTTATTGCTTATCGCTAGAAAATACGTGAAATACATCTTTTGCGGAAGTATACGCGTTGACAGATCAAAGAAAGAATTGGTGATACTAATTGAAGTAATCACTGATTATCACATTTAGTGGCGTTTGTTAATTAGCATGAATTGAAAATAATTCAGTGATGATTGCTCTGTATGTGATATTCGTCTTGGTGGAATTGGCCACTTCTAGTCAAATCAGACAGAAACTTTTCATTCAGTTTGAGAGATAATCTGAAAACCAAACAGGTACGAATATCACTACACCGACCACTTTATCTGCAAACAATAATATAATCTTCTAATAATAATTCCGTAAAAAATGATTGAATTTTTTGCATATGCATATTTAAATAGATGCTTCGAAATGCTATTCATTGAATTTTTCCTGTAGTGATTTCAGTTTCTCTCTTTGCTCCACCTGTCGAGAAGCAAACAAAACAACGGCAAAAGAAGAATTTATAAATGAAGTTGCCTTACCAGCCAATAACTTTGCCTATGATTTGGAATTTCGCAATGTTAAATTTCAATTTTACTAATTGTTCTGTCCGAAAATTTGAGCATAAATGAAATTATTTTTAACGTTATAAAATGATAACTATTTTCATATAAAACTGAAATTTTTTTTCATTTTCAGTTGTCACTTTAAGTTCGTCGGACACAAACAGCCTAAAAACCAAATACAAACATGTCCGGAGCAACTTTCCACTACGCTGACAAAAACTCCGTCAGTGTGGTCCCGCAGAAAACTTGAAGTCACGAAAGAATGCTATTGCTGTAACTCTTAAACAGTATTATGAGAGCAAAAAAGAGGTCTTTTTTAACTTATTAATTTTTTAATAGAAATGTCCAAGAAAGAGCTTTTTTTGGCAGTCTTGAAATCAGTCTATGAAACAATTTCAAATTTATAATCAGCGGCAGTTAGTACTAGTATTCTAATGACAGTCATTTCTCAGAAATTCTTTTATTTCTTTTATAATGATCAGAAACCTGTGAAAAATAAAAAAAGTCATGGGAGCCATGCCCATGCAAAAGGTGCCGCCCTCTTTGGCGACACTTCTGGCTTTTGGCTCCTTCATAGTGTACCAAAGTTTCCGCCAATTAAACACTATTCAATGCTCAAAGCGGTGAAATTTATGGAGAGTCATTTCTGTGTATTACATTAAAAACGACTTCCATCAAAATATTTTGTGAGTAATTATTTTAAGAGATTTGGATATTCTATTGTAATTTGTGAGTGATTCTTTTTTTTAAGGGACCGACTGAAATTAAGTTGTAATTGGAAAATATTTGATTTTAGCGGAAGCGATGAAATATATTTATCCAGCAGTGTACCATGTGAATGTACCCAAAAATTTCTCGATTGGTTTTCCATTTCTTGAAGATCTGAAGTCATTAAAAAGAAAAAACAACGTCAGTACATCGATAATTCAATATTTCACGTCAATTATTGGCACATTTTTCTATGATTTTGCAAAGACTAAAGAATTTATGGAAGGTATAGTTTACAGTTGCATCTCTCAATAAAATAATATTTCGCAGAAAGGAAAACAAATCGTTGCTAATTTTTGAAAATTTCAAATTTCGGAAGGAAAAAGATACATGAGGAATCACAGGAAGTTGAATCAATTATAACGTGACTTAATGATGAATTCAGTTTGAGCTAGCTTAGATTTGTATTCGGATTTGATTGCAAAGCAAATGAAAGTGTCGCTTTTTGCTGAAACTTTGATGAATGGTGCTGCAAAAGACTTAAATTCGGAATGCTCTAATGAATACAAAGTAAGTTTGAAAGTTAGATTTTCATTTGGATTTTAAAAACCAAATCTAATTT